GATTATATGCCCTCGTGAGACATTGCCGGCAGCTACACCTCTACATGAGGCTGTCATCTTAACGCAATGTGAGGCGCAGAGGAGTGATTATATAGTCAAGGCATATAGGTAACAATACCGGTGCTATTGTCCCCCTTATTTGTACTGTTCCTAATTGCTGTACTTTTATTTTCATTTATTAATAAAAGAAAACTAGCCCTAGGCGCTTGCCTAGCGGATTGCCAAAAAAAAAAAAATATAGTCGATTCATTCCTTTGGGGACATTCGATAAAATAAGAAAGGAGAAGATTAGCGAGCAATAATGACATGCACAAATCGAGAAATGGTCCAAATATAATCAATTCATTCTCTTTTGCTTTTTCAGAACAAAATAAAACTGAAATACAATATATAACTCCAAAACAAAGGATGAAAATGGATGTTTTACATGCATTCGGTTGCTAGACTTAAAGCTAGCAGTTTTATGTCTAAGGCACAAAAGATAAATCAACAGCAAAAGGGGAAAAGAAGGATGATGCTCTTAACAATTCTTAGAATCTCTACCAGTAAAATACTTACGAATTACGATCGATGTCCCTTCTATTAAGAAGTAATAAAAAGACATATTCAATGATCAAATATAGTAACAACACATCCAAAGATACTCTAACTGTACTAAAAAAAAAAAGGAAAGGTAAATCTCCTCTTAAATAAGCATAAATTAACTCTTTATACAGCAAGATCAATGCTTTGAAAGTATAAGTACAATTGAACTGAACAATCCAGTCTTACTTAAAATTAAAAAGTTCATCTTAACATAGTTATAGAATCTATAGCTGAAGCAAACATGATGGCAATTAATCAATGCATGTGCATATACAAGAAAACTAACATCTAAAAAAGAAGATAATAAAACATTTTGCTACAGAAACTAATGTTCATTCAAAGGTGAAAAAGAATGATAAATAAGAAAATTAAGGGCATTTCAAGCTATTGACAACTCTTAGAATTAATGGCAATAAGTGAATGTGTGTGCATATACAAGAAAATCAACATCTAGAAAGTAGTACAAACAAGAAACTGGAATTCATCTAAAAATGAAAAAATGATAGAGAAAAAAGGACATTTCAAAAACCTGATATTCTTGATCCAAAAGAAAGTAGTCAACCTTTCTATCCGTAGTGCCTTTGCTGTAATTGGCACTATTTGTAAAGTCTTTACTTTGCACTGCCTTTCAAATCCATCTCCAGTTTTGAAAAGAAAGCAACTTTTCAGTTCACTAAAGAAAGAATGCCATTTGTTCCAGTTTTAACACTTACACTACTGTTCATTCATTTCCGGATAAGTTTTATAAAATCCTAATGTGTACGGGTAAAATCGGAGGCAATATCTTCCCGATTCTCCGACGAGAGAACAAAGGGGAAGCACAGATCGACGTGATTAAAATAATCGAGGCCAAAAACCTCTCATATCGAGACTCACGAAAAATGAACGATAAATCCGATATCGGACATGGTAATACTGTTGAAGTTTGGCAAAATGCCAAAGTCCCACATTGGTTGGGAGTTAAGTTTGGGGGGGATTTTTCCCCTATAAAAGAAGGCCTAATGTTTAGGATTGAAATACACCTCTCATTTGTCTTCTCATCTGTTTAAGGCATTTGTATCTTCTCTCTTTAGTATTATTTCACTTGTATTTTTGGAGTGGAATAAAATATTTGGTTGTGTCCGAGGAGTAGGCAAAATTAGCCGAACCTCGTAAATTCTGGTGTTCCCTTTATTATTGCTTTATTGTCTTATTTATTATTTGGTGGTTGTCATAATTTTTGGTATAGTAGTTGTGACTTATTCACACTCGATACATTTGGCTTCCGCAACAAATACGACGCATCCCGGATCGATTATAACTTCTATACTTCGGAAGATGCGGTGAACGGTTATGCATGTCGGATAGCGGGCCGTAATATTCGCCCTCTACCGGATATTACAGTGTGAATCTCGTTCAGTACCGATTATGGATAAACAATTACAGATTTTTTTTTTTACTTTTTTTGTACTATTGATATTCTCCTACTATATAAAGGGAAGTTTATATTTAGTCTAACACACTGTAACACGTGATTCAAAGCAATAAAAAAATTTATTTTTGTCTTTTAGCTTCTATTCAAGGCATTACTTGTTTGTTCTTTTCTTTATTCACGACTAGAGGTGACAAAATGGTTAAAAGAAAACAGTAATGAGTCTAACTTTTATATTTGTAAAACCTCAAATTAAGGATTTCTCAGGTTAAGGAGACTAAGAATTCTTCCAAAAGTGATCATATGTAAGAAGTCATGAATAATGGTTATCTATATTATTCGCCGGTTAACCCATTTTTTATTTGTATTAAATATGGACCGGGTCGGATAATTTATCCGTTTTTCATTACCCGTTTTCGACCCGACCCGCATGTTTTCCACTCCTACTCACAACCGAGCTTGCACCGAGGATCCGATCGAGAACGAATTCCACTGTTCAATCTAAGATCAGGCTTGGTCATCGTATTGCAATTGGTTTGATCGTTTATTTTGTCTTTACTTTATCTATCTGTTATTCTTAGTTATTCGTATTGAATTAAATCAAGTATCATTCAAACCACGCATAAATTTAATTATTACTCATTTTTTGGGTTATGCACCTACTTAATGAAATTAAATTTTCAAGCATTTTTCATGCCAAATTAAGCTTAGCAGCATTATATTCCAACACTGGCTTTAAAGTTTTTTTGCCTTTTCTTCTTGTTGCTTTTAACTACTACTAACATTTCTAATTTCTAAAGGGGGCAGAGGTGATATGACGAGAGGGAGAGAGTAGACTAGGCTGTAGGCTGGGTTGATGTGAAAGTTTGGTTTTAATTTGCAGGAGAAAGCGTGCTCTAATTTGTCTAAAATCTAAATAGAGAGAAATGATTAGCCTTTGCAGGCTAATAAGAGTAATAAATATGAGTAATTAAATTAAATACCATGGATACAAATTGCAGTAAAATGGTGTAAATGTCACATACGACAAAGACGTGAAACAAGTGTCAAAATTACAAAGATGTCTGGCTGTGTAATGGAACATCAGAGTGACCTTGAAAAGGACAGTTAATATTATTGTCTTCCCTCTAGGTATGTGATATACTTTTTATAATCTGTTCTAACTTTAAACTAAAGTAATTTACTCTATACTTTGAATTTATCCTTAATAAGAAATTTATTGTCCCAAATATATTATAGCATGTTTAAACAAAAATTTTTATAGCTATACAAATACTATGATATGTTAAATCCACAAAGCTCAAAAACTCCGTATTGATTCAAACACCTCTCATGCCACATAAATTAGCTTTTAGGGAATGGTGAGAATTAAAAAAAATAAAATAAAAAGAAGATGAAAGGGGAATAAGGAGTCCCATTCACTATATTATTTTAGTGCATTAAATAATTTGAAGTACAAACGTCTCAATACCGTTTTGAGTATCCTCTCTCTTCTTTTATATGCGGCATGTGATGTTTTAATTCTTTCTTTTGGTACAGCAGTGACACCTACTTGCAAATAACAGGAGAATACTCAATGTCTAAGAATTATCAAGAGATGCCGGGGCCTTTGCCTAAATTAAAGGAAGCTGATATAACGTGGAGCTCAGTTATGCCTCCTAAACAGAGAATTGTGGCTTAGTTAGCATGTCAAAATAAACTGCTAAGTAAGGAGAGATTAGCTCGACTAATGATACATGTATATGATTAACAATGCTGTCTATGTGATCAGGCACAGGCGAAGACAGAAGAACATATCTTTGGCAAATGTGAGTGAATATCAGAACTAAAAGACAAATTGAGCACTTTGCTGGACATCAAGATACAAGATAATGAGGCCAGTCAGGTGATCAAGTGGATCAAAAAGAAAAGATGGAAGCAATTTTAGAAGGAAATAGTTGCGGCAGCATGAGGTGCTATGATATATTACACTTGGCAAGCAAGAAACCAGAAGATTTTTAGGAAAGGTACTGTAGGGGAGACTTTGTATTCGCTCAGGTTCAAAAGGAGATCACGAATAGAATGAGTATATTGTGTAAGTCGAAAAGAGCTCGTAAGAGTCAGTTATTAATTTAGAAATTATGTAACTAGACCTCTATTTGTTTGTCTTGAGATCTAGTGTTTGAGGTACTCTTCCTAGAAGGTGGCCAACGACACCAAAGGCTCTTTAGGTTGTAAATTTCTTTGGTTGTTATTGTAATACTTCACATTTATTACCAAAGAAATAAATTTTTTTCTTTCTCTATCGCTTTTTAAGGGCTTTTTTTTTTACGCATATATTGACATAACAATATTTATACATGTTTAATGTTTTGATGTATTTACCCCGTGTTTTTTGGTAGTTTTACATGTTTTAAATATGGTTGAAAATGGTCAATTGAGTTTAATTATGAATTTTTAAATGTTTAGGAGCATTTGGAATGAAAGGAGGCAAATTAAGAAAAGTTACTAGCAAACGAGTGTCCATTGTCTTTCATTCCTATCCCTAATCTCTAACCCAAAGAACGAGTTTGAACTTTGAACTCTTGACTCTTTTTAGCTTCTTTTTTAGTTTTAACTTTTTATCCAAACTTATCTATATAAAAAGAACTTTCATTAATATTATAGGTTAAGGTACATTAGGTTAGTACTAATAGAATTCTTAAAATGGATCTCTTATAGATTTTACTTTTGCCTAAGGCATTTTGAAGTTCTTTCAATATCTCCTAACGTGACACTGTATGAATTTCTGGCATATTGTAACATATGGTTAATTCTAGTTATTAAATTACTTGTCAAAGAGTGTTTATGTGTGATGAAGTGAATATTATCCATGCCTACCATAGTGAATTGATCAAGTAGGAGAATCAAACTACAAACTAGCTCTGGCTTCAATAGTGATATTTGATCAAAGTGGAGAATCAAACTACAACATAACAGAGAATAAACACAACCACAATATAAAATCAGATATCAAAACATTTCAGCCAAGACCATGGTCTGGTAAATGGCTAGAGATCAAACAAGATTGTTATCTACGTTATAGTCAACTTCTGCTTTAGGTGATGCCCTCGAAAATTTTGTTATATCTGCAAGTACCTTTAGTCTTGTTTCAGCAAATTCTTGTCCTTTGTTGGGCTGAAGTAGCATTCTCACCAGCATCGGAGACTTGGCTAATAGAAGCTTAATAAGCTCCATTTCAGGCTTTGTGCCTGTAATATTGTCAAGCCTAGCAACCCTGAGGTGATTCAGTGTCACATCTCTGAAGCTTGCAGGAATATCATTGACAACATCACCGCGCACAGGATCAATCAATGTATCCAATGCCACATAAAATATCTAAGAAATATTAGGAAAAATCAATACCTCAGATAGGCAAGTCACTATACGAAGAACACTTGAGAAAAAAAGGACCAAAACAAGCGAAAAATTAAAGTTCATTATAACCTTCATTTGAATATCTTGTAAATACGGGGAGCTTCTTATCAAGCATAGAACATACGAGAACTCGTCTAATTCATCCAGACAAATATCGGATAGGCAAAGACATTTAAGACAATTAAGGGGAGAGGAAAGCTTTGCTGCTATGTCACCTGAGCCTGCATCCAAGACCTAAGAAGAAAATATCGTAAATCAGGAACACTAAAAGCCAAAACGATGGTACATCTATGAAAAATGCATTTCAGTGAAGTCATGGTGCAACATTTACCATGACACTAAGGTAATTCAAGTTGAGATGCTCGAGAGCAGGAAACGATTCAAAATACTTGGCATGATCAGATTGTCGTGCCTCCTCAGAAAGTTCTGCTGTATTCACAAGTGAAAGTTTCACAAGAAGAGGTGCTTTCTTTATGCAAATTAACTCTATATTGCCTGTGAAGTCAAAGGATCTCAACTTGGGAGCTTTAATTTGAATGTGGTTTAAAATACTTGAGATCTCCAGCACCAATTGCTCGAGCAGCAGGCTACGAGAGATTAAACGTCCAAGCACTTCGGAAGAAATTGTGACTTCATATAGTTCCAGGCTAACCAACTGATTAAATCCTTTGAAGGCGGGTGGAGGATGAAATAAACAATTATGGAGTTTCAGATGTTTCATTTGCAAACATGTAAAAAATGATGAAGGCAATTTGTATGGTTCATCTTTTGGGAATTGAAGAACAAGATGCTGAATGCCATTTCTTGAGAGGAAACATATTAGGTTGTCAATTTTAGGACAGTTTCCCAGATTAGCAATAGAGAGGGTAAACTTACTAATTGGTCCGACATGGAGTGTCAAAAGGTGGTAGATAATATCTGTAAACCTAATTGTAGGGGATATTAGGTTGTTTGTGTTGAAGTTTGGCAAAATGCCAAAGTCCCACATCGGTTAGGAGTTAAGTTTGGGGGAGATTTTCCCCCTATAAAAGAAGGCCTAATGTTTAGGATTGAAACACACCTCTCATTTGCCTTCTCATCTGTTTAAGGCATTTGTATCTTCTCTCTTTAGTATTATTTCACTTGTATTTTTGGAGTGGAATAAAATATTTGGTTGTGTCCGAGGAGTAGGCAAAATTAGCCGAACCTCGTAAATTCTGGTGTTCCCTTTATT